TTTACACTGTTAATTTTAAGAGCACACTTCCTTCAATTACAGTCCCAGGGGTTGGACAAGATTAAACTACTTACTGATTTACTTTCTGATGCAGAACTTGGAACAAAGCAACTGCACTTACATCCTCCAACAAAGAGAATCGATATCTGAATCAGATGAAGAATGACTTTAGTGCAGGGGAACAGAAAGAATTTGTCTTTGTAACATCAGCGCAGGAACACTTTGACAACTTGCAAGGAAAGATACATACAGCCTCTTTATTTAATGTGAGTCTACCAACTTTAATTTTGCCTTTTAATTTCCCTTTGCCGTAACACTGTAAATGTCCCCACTGCGGGGTGAATAACGGATTTCTGATTTATATACTATATACTTGATTCAATATTGCCATGTGCATTCAAGCAGCAGGGAAGCATATAAGTTGACTACAGTGGAGAAAGTAACAGTTATTCATTGGTTATATTCCAAATACAAACACAGAGTAAACATGAAATAACAAGCACCAAAGAACACTGGTAGAGAGCTTTCAAAGTGTCGAGATGTATGAAGCCTGAGGTCACAAAGACTTGCACAGACGTCGAGAGTCGGACTCTTCCCTCCAGTGAGCTTTCCTAATACTCCAGTCTGGTCTCAGGGCCACTTAGCTCTAATTACTGCACCCTAATGGCAAGGCCAATCACTAGCAGGTTAATTGTTTGATCTTTGCCATATGTACTGCCTGCCGTAATGTTAATCTACCTCTCCACATATACATGAGCCAACCATGCAGTACCCCACGTCGCCCAGCTGCTGCTGTCAGAGGAACAGTCTGTGTTGATGCGGAGCAGGATGTGTGTCAAGGGCAGGCTAGATGAGAGGTCAAACTCAATTTGAAAAAAAAGACATTAGAAACATTCTCTTCATGATGAATGATTGACAACTATATTCTCTGTTGCCTGGCAGGTCGTGGCACATGGATTTTTCTAAAATATTTAAAACTAAATAGCAGTAAAAGTATGTTCTTCCATACTGCACACTCTTTTCAAGTCTACTCTACATGGTTTTCAGGTAACTGGTAACATATATTTCACACTGATTTGGAGAATCAACACATTTAAAAACTGAAAATGTTTTTAGGGGATATTCAAATGCAGCTGTGATAACACATGAAGCTCCTACCTGTTAACAGATTGCATGCTTGATCATGATAAAGCAGTCTTACCCTCCTAATTGATAATATCACACAGTTCGAGCTGTTGTGTGCCAAGTTATTGCTTAAACCTGCAATACCTGATTTATTGGCCACTTGGGGGCACTACAAAAAAAACTGGCATATTACTCATATGTCCAGCAAGAAAAAGTGATTTGTGTGTTGTGTAGGTCCTAGCAGCTTTGAACCAGCTTTGGTTGGTTAACTACTTGGTTAAGTTTAGTAAACGTTTGTGGTTTGGCTAAAAATAAATAGCATATGTTCCTTATGTCACCTGACGACCTTTACGGCAGCCATTGCAAGTACTAGCTCATGATTACATACAGTAGGTTACATACAAATTGGTTTTATGGTTTGTATACATATTATATTGCATTACTTTGTCTTAACAGTAATACAGCCTGTATACTGCTGAGCTGATTAAGATGAAATTGTTAGTGAACAGTTATTTACAGTTTTAACATTGATGTCTGCATTTTTCTGAAAGATTTACATTTAACTTGCCGTACATTTTGACATGGAAAAGGGTCTGATATTATGCACGCTGGCTCACTGGAATAACCTACTGGGCAGGCCCGGTTCCAGAACAAAATGACTCAGGGTGCATCTGAGATTAGAGAGGGTGCAGGGGTAAAGTGCTATTTTTATAAGTGGGGAGTGGACCTAACACCCTCTAGGGGGGTCCTCACCTCCTCTAGGGGGGTCCGGGGGCATGCTACGCCGGGAAGATTTTTTTTTAAATATTGAAGTTAAAAGCACCAATGTGGTGCACTTTGAGAGCAAAGTGAAGAGATCTATGGATACATCTCAACACCCATATGAAACAGAACTGTTTCAGAACCTCTCCTTCCACAAAGCCACTGACTTCATGTGCTCTTTGCTTGATTCATGCCTTCCCAGTCCCTTATCATGTATAAGAGCATGGCGCCAGTTGTTGTAGCCAGTTGTGGTGAAGGCATCTGACGTACTTGAACCGAAATGTCTACATTCATAGCAGAAGATGGAATCTTTTTGACATGAATATTCCAGCCAATCTCTGTTTTGAAACCATGAGCTGCAAAATGAGTGCCTTACCCCACTGTAAAGGCGAGTTGGGTACTTTTTTTTAAATATACCTGGCAGGCTCTGTTTTGCAGAGGTCCTCTGGCACTTGCGGACCGCCGAGGGGTGGCGGTGTTTGGGGCAATGAAGACGGCTGTGGTTGCGAGTTGGGCGGGAGGACGTTAGTGTCCACGACAGTGGCCGCGGGTAACGTCATGTGCCCATGATCTGAACTGTTATTACCTGCAGTAGATGCAGTGTTACTGCTGGTGATAAGGGCTGGTTGTTTTAACCATTTTCTGATGTCCATCATTGACTGCTGTGTAAGCACCTTGCAGATGACTAACGCGCAGCAGCACAGGTCACACGCACCTGACATAATAACGTTACTTACCGTTTAAATTGACCAAATAAATGCAGCAGACAATGTTATTTAACCGCAATTACAATTTATTTTATTTCAACTATATTATTAGTGTAGGAGCCAAAACGTTGATTTATTATTTGTATTATTTAATCATTTAATGTATGTAATGGAGTATAATTGATTGGTGTCAAGTGATCATGATCCGCAGCCACGGCTGGGCGGAGCGGCTGATTGGTGCTGCGATTGCCTCAGCTGGTTAAAAGAGTCCTGCTGATGATACTCTGTGTTCTAGTTTGGTTGTGAAGCCACACGGGTTTTTGACCGCTGCATTGCACTGCAGAGAAGGATAACTTGGAAATAAATATACCAAAAGAAAGGTGACTCTGAGTGATGTGTGAGCGCGTCGGCCAGGCGATAAAACCAAAGAACAAAAGGAGCTTAAGAAAGGTGGAAAGAAGGCTCTTTTATTCTTTGGTTTTAGCGCCTGGTGGAAGGCTCTTTTATTCGTCAAAAAACCCAGCTTGATGAGCGCTGGTCCGTGGAAACGTATGTTTTGAAAACAAGAACTCATAACAGCGTGTCAAATACTCGCCTTCGTTTTACTACGGATTCTACTTCCTAAAACGACGGTGTTGTGAAACGTGAATGACTGAAGGCAACAATCACTCCTCCCCCAACTACATCTGTAACGCGTCACTGCTGTGGAGCGTTCAAAGACTGTTGGAAACGTCTCAACTCAAGGCAAGACAATGAAAGTCCACAAACAATTAAGTAAAATTCAAAAGGAATAAACGTGTTGTCTTGAACAAAAATGGCAGACTTGGAAAGCTTGGAAAGTGACATTGACTGTGTGTATATGGAAAGGCTCAAACGACTGAAATCATCAAGGAGTGCAAAATTGGGTGCATTGACAAGGAAAATAAATGAAATCAGACAATTAATGGAAGATGTCTGCAATGTGGAACTGGTTAAGTCGAAAAGGGAAAGTGAGTTTACACAACTACACAAAGAAATGGAACAGTTAAATGATTCTGTTCAAGCTTTAATGTCCACTGAGGAGGAGAAAGAAATGGATCAGGATGAATGGTATAACCCCAAAGCAGCTGCCTTGGAAGAGTTTAATCAGGAGGTCTTAAACTGGATCGCTGATGCTCCTGTGTCCAATGTTGTCCAGACAAAAATAAAAGGACATACGAGTGTTGCACCTCGGGACAGTATTTCAAACGTAAAGAGTGTTCATTCACAAAGTTCAAGGAGATCCTCTCGGTCTTCTATCACATCTGCTAAAATAAAGTTGGAAAATAGAAATGCAGAATTGTTAGCACGAGCTGCTAGGCTGACTCAGAAGCAAGCACTGGAAAGGGAGGAAGCCGGTTTGAAGGAAAGAAAGGAACAGCTGGAACTTGAAACAGATATTGCAGCAAACACTGCAAAATTAAAGGTAATCAAAAGAATGGAGGATTGTCATGCAGGCACGTACCAAGCAGGAGACAGAATGAATGAATATTTGGATCACTCACTGTTTGTGAGTACAGCATTAGAGCAAGAAAATGCTCATTTGAATGCTAACAAGCATACACCAAACATCAATAAAACTGCAAATGCCGTTAATAGTGAAACACAATTCATACCACAACGTCCTGAAAGTTCAACTTCATCCAGCACGTCTTCTAGCAAGGGAGAGGGCAATATGAACAGCTTAATAAGCATCATGGACAAACAGACCACAATAACAGAAACGATGGTAAAGCAACAGAAACTTTCTTCATTACCCCCGCTCAGCATTCCTACCTTTAACGGAAACCCTTTGGACTATCGGTCCTTCATAAGAGCATTTGAGCATGGTATTGAAGAGAAAACAGAAATCAGAAATCAGTAAGGACAGGCTTTACTTCTTGGAGCAATGCACTATTGGCCAACCAAGAGAGCTTGTGCGCAGTTGCCAATATATGCAATCTGACAAAGGATACACGGAAGCAAAAAGGTTGTTGAAGCATCATTATGGAGATGAATATCTTATCGCGACAGCCTACATCGACAAGGCTCTCAATTGGCCATCTATTAAACCTGAGGATCCACAAGCTTTAAAAACCTTTGCTGTGTTTCTGAATGGATGTCTCAATACAATGGATAGTGTGGAATACATGGAGGAAATGGATCACCCAATCAACATGCGAGCTGTTCTTTCTAAACTCCCATATAAGCTTAGAGAAAACTGGAGAGCTAAAGCTTGTAACATACAAGATGGAAACAACAGAAGAGTTAAGTTTGAAGATCTAGTGAAGTTTGTCGACCATCATGCTAGAATCCTTTCTCATCCAGTGTTCGGAAACTTAAAGGAAATTCCAAATACATCAGCAAAGACAAGCTACACATTCGTTCCTGCTACTCCGAGCGCAAGGTTCAAACCGAGATCTCCAGAGTTATATAAAAGTGGTTTTGCCACTAGTGTATCCCCATTACCTCAGAAAGAAAACTGTAACCGACACAGTGACACATCCCAATCAAACCGATGCATCTACTGTAAAGGAGAACACCATCTTTCTGCTTGCAATCAGATTCTCAAAAAACACCCACAAAGAGAAGTTGGAATTCCTCAGAAGCAAAGGACTTTGCTTTGGATGTTTAGAAAAGGGCCACATGAGTAAAGGATGCAAACAAAGACATACCTGCAAAGAGTGCAATCTCACACACCCCACTCTGTTGCATTTCAGTAATATCGAGTCGAGCAAAGGAAAGGTAAAGACTGTTGCAAATGCTTTAGTGGATATGGATAAAGATGATTCACGGGAGGAGGATATTGGGGCCGGTGAGCCTGAAGGCACCCTGGCTATCGTTCCTGTGAAGGTGAAAACAAAACAGGGTAATACCATCATAACAACATACGCCTTTCTGGACCCAGGTAGTACGGCTACCTTTTGCACAGAGTCCATTCTACAGCAGCTTCAAGTGACTGGACGCAACACGAAGATACTCTTACGAACAATGAATAAAGAGGAGTCAGTTAAAACATCTGTTGCATGTGACCTTGAAATATGTGGTATAGAAAGTAACCAGTATGTAGCACTTCCACCTGTTTATTCACAAAACAAAATACCAGTACGAAAGGCAAATATTCCCTCTCAGGAGGATGTGGGACAGTGGGAATACCTGAAAGAGGTCAATATACCACAAATTGATGCAGAGGTTGGCTTGCTAATTGGGTGCAACGTGCCAAAAGCTCTAGAGCCATGCAAAGTCATAAACAGCCAAGGGAATGGCCCGTACGCTGTTAAGACCATTTTAGGTTGGACAATAAATGGACCTCTAGGAAGGTCAGATACGACTCGTTGGATTAAGCCAGTCGTTACAGCAAACAGAATTTCTGTTGTGGAAATCGAGGAATTGTTGAAGCAGCAAGTGAAGCTGGACTTTCCAGAACATCAACACAAGGAGCGTCTGGAAATGTCAAGAGAGGATCACAAGTTCATGGAAAGTGTCTCTAATTCTGTCAAGTTAGTAGACGGACACTACAGTATTGGACTGCCATTAAAGGAAAAAGGACTTGATTTTCCCAATAATAGACGTGTTGCTGAACAAAGAGCTTTGAACCTAAAAAGAAAATTCCAACAAAACAACAAATTCTACAAGGAGTACAAAGAGTTCATGGCGGATGTTGTTGATAAAGGTTTTGCCATCAGAATGACACCTGAACAAAAAGACAAGGCAAATCAAAGCAAAAGGAGCTGGTATATTCCACACCACGGCGTGTACCATCCAAAAAAGCGTAAACTGAGGGTGATTTTTGATTGCGGTGCAACTTACCAGGGCACATCTCTGAATGCACGTCTTCTCCAAGGCCCAGATTTAACCAACAGTCTTATTGGTGTCCTTACAAGATTCCGGCAGAAGAACATTGCATTCATGGCAGATATTGAAGCCATGTTCCATCAGGTCAAGGTGCCAGAGGAAGACTCAGATCTTCTCACATTCTTGTGGTGGCCCGATGGAGATCTCAGTAGTGAGCTAGAAGAGTACCAAATGGTTGTACACATCTTTGGAGCAACATCCTCGCCTAGTTGTGCCAACTTTGCCCTACAACAGTGTGCAAGAGACAATGTGGATGACTTTAGCCCAGAGGCTGTATCTTCGATGCTAAGAAATTTTTATGTGGACGATTGCCTAAAATCAATGGAAGACGAGAGGAAGGCAGTGATAATCGCTCACGAACTTAAAACCCTGTGCAGTAAGGGTGGTTTCAAGTTAAACAAATGGGTAAGCAACAGCAGAGCTCTACTACAAACAATACCAGAGGAAAGTAGATCAAAGGAAATCAAGGATCTGGATCTGGATAAAAGTACCCTACCTGTTGAAAGAGCTCTCGGAGTTCAGTGGTGCACGGAAACGGACTCATTCCATTTCAAATTTACTCCTCAGGATAAACCACTTACCAGTAGAGGTATTCTGTCAGTAGTGAGCTCTATATTTGATCCGCTGGGTATGTTGTCCCCTGTGATCCTCCCTGCAAAGCAAATCTTGCAAACATTAACAGGAATAAGGCTAGGATGGGATGAAAATATTCCTGAAGAATGTAAGGAACAGTGGTTGAGCTGGCTACACCACTTGCAATTACTGAGAGACTTCAAAGTCAAAAGATGCATCACACCACTCAACTTTGGAGATCCAGTCTCAGCTCAGCTTCACCACTTTGGAGATGCTAGTGAAAGTGGTTACGGAACAGTATCTTACCTTCGCCTGATGAACAAAGCAAACGCAGTTCATTGTTCCTTTATCATGGGTAAGGCCAGAGTAGTTCCACTCAAACCTGTGACCATCCCAAGAATGGAGCTTACCGCTGCCACTGTAGTCGTCCGGATGGACCGAATGTTACAGGAAGAGTTGGAGCTTAAACTCCAGCCATCCGTGTTTTGGACTGACAGCACGTCTGTGTTGAAGTACATACAAAATGAAACTACAAGATTCCACACCTTCGTCGCCAACAGAGTCGCAGTCTTTCGATCTGCTTCAGAGACTTCCCAATGGAGGTATGTTAATGGTTGCCTGAATCCAGCTGACTGTGTATCAAGGGGAATCTCTGTAAGTCGCTTTCTGAGAGATGAAACCTGGTTAAGGGGACCAGAGTTCCTTAGTCTCCCTGAGCATCAGTGGCCTAAATCTCCAGATTTGACTCTAACAGCCAGCGACCCTGAAGTCAAAGTTTTTGCCGTAAGTCTCAACCCCATGGAAGAAAGCTCTAGTACAGTGAACAAGTTGCTCACTTACTATTCCCACTGGCATCGCCTGAAAAAAGCTGTGGCCTGGATGCTACGCATACAATCCGCTCTGATGGCGAGTCCCAAAATGAGCTCTAGCCCCCTTCCCCTCTTGCACCACACAAGCACATTTACACACACGGACTCATGTGTTAATACACATTCGCCCTACAAAGGGTCAGAAGCCCTGAACAAATGTTTTGTATTGGCTCTCCATTTTATGTTTATTAGTAATTGTCATGTGTGATTCCATAACAATTAGGGGCCGGAGTGTAGGAGCCAAAACGTTGATTTATTATTTGTATTATTTAATCATTTAATGTATGTAATGGAGTATAATTGATTGGTGTCAAGTGATCATGATCCGCAGCCACGGCTGGGCGGAGCGGCTGATTGGTGCTGCGATTGCCTCAGCTGGTTAAAAGAGTCCTGCTGATGATACTCTGTGTTCTAGTTTGGTTGTGAAGCCACACGGTTTTTTGACCGCTGCATTGCACTGCAGAGAAGGATAACTTGGAAATAAATATACCAAAAGAAAGGTGACTCTGAGTGATGTGTGAGCGCGTCGGCCAGGCGCTAAAACCAAAGAACAAAAGGAGCTTAAGAAAGGTGGAAAGAAGGCTCTTTTAATTATTATTATTATTATTATTATTATTATTGTTATTATATTTGTAATATTTTTCACTTTTTTTTTCACTTTTCATTTTTCAAATGAGGGTGCATAACGACTCAACTGAGGGGTGCAATGCACCCTTATGCACCCCCGTAGAACCGGGCCTGCTACTGGGACACTTAATACAACAGAGCCGTTGTTTTATGTTATCAGTGCACATGATGCCATTCATACCATGGCAAGTCAAATTGCCTGTTGTTAAAATTCTGCACTGTGCATTCACTTGACTTTACCTTAGACATTATAGAACCAGCTATGCACAGGAGATAATCTACGTACCAATCACGGCCTGTTACAATATCACCACACGTAAACAAAAGTAGAAATGTGTGCAAGCTAGTCAGTATTTAGCTTTGTTCAAGCAAAGAGTGTAGTGTAGTTTGAAGGGTCCCTCATATACTTTGAAAAATAGATCACACACACCCCCCCCCACATCCCCAGAAACACTTATTACCCATACACAGTATTCCAAATAGCTGTGCCTTGATGGAAAACAGCACATCCGGGGGGAAAGGACAGATATTACACGGATCATTAGCTGCAAATATAAAAGGGAGCATCACAGCGGCCTAATGACGCTTTGATAAGCTCTGTTCTTGAAGTAAACATAATCTGTTGACTTTCAATTCTTTTGTCACACCACCAATGATAGTTGAGGCAGAATGAAGCATTTTGCTGTAAATGGGCTGCTGTCGTGCGGAGCAAGACAATGCAGGGCCCTCTTGTAGAAAATAGGAGCTGGTGGGGAGGAGAAGTTAAACGTGTAACTATACATCATCATTTTTGATGTTACATTTTCTGGATGATGCACTGAAGTGTCTACAGCTGTCTTTCATCTGGCTTTACATACATGCCTGCCTGCCAGTCTTCAAGTCTCTCTGTGACTGTTATCACTGAGTCACTGTGACTCAGAGCGCCTTCTGGCAATACCAGTATTAACCAGAATGTACAGGAACCTGCAAATTATTGCTGCATTATAGCGACGCCAACAGAAAATTCCCTCCCCCTCAGAGATAAAAAAAAAACACACAGAAAGGCCCATTACGTCTGGAGAAAAGTCCACTTCATCTTTCAAGTCCCAGTTATTTGAGGACATGCTTGTATGGCGGAGGTAAGGAAATGCAACCAAGCAGTACTATGCAACCAATATGCACATGTGTACTCGCCTTGCTGTACATGTCCATAAATAAAATCTTCAAGTTGTGTATGTTTAATGAGGGAAAACATACACCTGATGTGTAAATGTAGAGTTGTTGACATTCTCAGTGAGGAGGCATGAGGAGGAAAGAGAAGCACAATGTGGCTAGAGGTGTGCAGCACACATAACGTGCACATGGGGACCAGATGGAGCTATATCAGCATGTGTGCTGGGGATTGGTAAGACTCTTGGCCAATCACATTGATTTCATGGCAAACTGACAGTTTAGTAATGGAGTCAAATTGAAACCCACAGGAGCTTTTCCCATGAGGAAATCACCATTGTGTGATGGGAGATGGTAAACACACACCAACTCTAAAATAAGCTAAATTGGTGACTCTTTCGAGGATGAAATTGCATTCAATAACAAAGATCATGATTGGATTTAGCTTCCCATTCATTTCTATATGAACTGTCTTAGAAAAATGGGATTTGGGCCATGAATTCACCCTTGACCTTTAATCGTATTGAAGTTTAACAAGACTGTGCAATGTCCAGTTGGTTTGAGAGAAAGGATGGGATTGACCTTTCATTCCAAAAAGTGCAGTACACGAACAATGACAGAGGTTAAAAGTTAAATGTTTCACAATACGCTTTATAATTAGCATTTTTTTTAAGCCCGCTTTTTTCTGACCCACACTCCTTTACACAGCGGATATATGAGGAACCGTTCAAGGTGCAATGTTATGTCAAAATAGTATGCCCCAATTTTGCGCATACTGCATGCAACAGTACTGTATGTTCTTCTGCAGGGCAGCTGTAGTACATGCTCAAAGTAAAACAAAATGCATGCAATAGCGATGCAGCCATACTCTGGGACTATTTGTGAATGTGGGATCAGGTGTCAAGGCAGGTGTAGAGTCAGGTGACTGGTAAAGCACTCCAATGAAGGCAACTCACACCCCTCTGGAGGCATCTGTGTGTCAATCTGTTGTACCCTGAATCAATAAATGTTGACGCATTATTGGAAAATTACTAAGACGATCACAATAATCAAATGTCAAACCACCACTATATAAATTACTTGTATAGCTGTCATAATGTATTCCTCTTTACCATCAGTATATGAGTGATAACATTTAAACTTCTGGAGAGGCTCTCCAGGCTAGGCGGCACATTCATTGTTAGGCTTCTCAATCATGTAACATGATCCCTCTTCACCTCATTATTCAAAATGCAAATCATCCTCAGGATAATTTAAATGCATCACGAAAACCGCCTTCTGGTGAGAGGATGCTTGCATTAGCAGGGGGTCAACTAAGGCATCCCTGGTTCCTTTATTTTCATTTCCTTTATAATCACTCAAATCCTGAACAGAGTTTAGAAAGCAATCCTTGCCCAGAGCAGTGTTTACTTTGCACACAATCTAGAAAGTCTGCCCGCAGAAATGAATACTGACAGCCCTGCTTCATATTCACATCCCTCTGCTGCATAGAGAGGGGCCCTATGAATGCTTATATAGCACACACAGGGAGAGGATGATTAGTAATGTATTGATCCAGGCAACAGTAAAGGGCCAACATATTTGTCCTGACATGATTCAATACTGTAACAATACTTAGAAACATTACACATTTGTGGTCAATCATACTGTGCTACAATTATCCTTATTTGCTGCTTCATTTTTTACAATGAGATTGATGTAGTCCAATAGTTACATAGTGTTAAATATGAACATATGTGTAACAAATGCATGCACCGCTTTCCACATCAAAGTAGAAAAATGCCCTCCATGTGTAGAGCATTTGAATGAATGTCTCTTCCGGTTTTGGTAAAATATTTAAGTGAACCTAATTTAAAGTCAACCTCAGTCCACTGATGGTGCAGATGGAAATACAAAATACGGAACTCTATGAACCAAGAACACTACAAATGGAATTACACAGCAAGAGCCGTAAAATAAAAATCATTTATTATTTGCATTTAAATTTGTGAATCGTTAGTGTGAGCTGTCTTGTAAAGTAGGACGCCTTTCATTCTCTGTGTTTCTGTCCAAAGTCAAAGCGGTAGCACTGTGCCGCCTCAGTGATCAGAGTATGCCTCAGTTAACCTGGACTGTGTTGTACACGCCCTGAGGCATGCTGTCAAAAAACCTTGCCTGATGACAACCTGACAACTCCATCCATCTTATTTACCCGCTGGACAGTGCAGATCTGCCGTGGCAATCAATAACGTTCACAATTAGTTTCCCTCCTGGGGGTGGAGGTAGAGGGAGGTACACAGGAGGGGGGTGCAGGGGTTGGCTGGCAGTCCCCGACACAGCTGGACAGAGAGTACGTGTGGCCCAGGTCCATGCATGCCACATGTCCTGACATTAGCAAATATCTCTTGGGAGGAGATGACATTTCCATATGTCCAGAAGGAAAGAGGGAGAGGTGTGTGTGTGTGACAGTCTGCAGGCACGCATGACTGTGTGTATATCTGAAACGGTGTGTTTTCTCCATTATGTGTGAGCATTCATGTGCATTGTTTTGTTTTTCACCTTGGCACATGACCTGGAAAATCTCCTCCAAAGGGCATGCGAGAGGCTGAGGAGGACTCTCCAGAGGACGCTGATGGATCTATATCAAGACGTAAAATAGATAACTGTCATTCATCATCGGGGTGTCTGAAAGTTAACCCTGACCAACAGGGCTTAGCCAAACAGAGCAACCAGAGAGCATACACATCCCAGCATGCTTCAGTGTCATTTGGATGCCCTTATCAACCTGGCATGACTTCAGGCAGGTGATGGATAGTAGGTTTCCTCTTTGCGATTATCTTTTAATGTGATAGAATAGATTAGATCACAAACAATATAAGGTGGAAACAATGAAAGGAGAAGGACATATTGCCTGAATTCAGGTGATTCACTGTTTTTATCTGTGGATAAATGCTACATATGACCTGTCCTGTTCAGGAATGACTGACTCTAAATGATTGACAAAAATGTTGTATCCCTAACTTATATCAATTATATGTAATTTAAAACGTTTTTGTTTTTTTTTCTGAATAAAGGTGACATATAGATTGGATCATTGTTGAGGATCAGCTATTTAGTCAGTAAAGCATCTTCTTTTCCCCATGTCTCTCAGTTTGTTTCCAATATTGGTTCAATTACCAACCATGATGTTTTTTTGCTGCAAACACGCTACCTTTCTTCAACCTCTTCCACTCACACGTCCTAACTCATCCAAATGCTTATGTGGCAGAACTACTTGCGACACATAATATAAGTCACATTTCCTCTTTTATGTTTTGAGAAATTATTAATGTTGCTAAACCCTTTTGAATCCCTAAGAGAATTGCAAATACATATTCAATTTCCCTAGAGGGCAGAGAAGAAAGTCTGCACAAGCAAGTTGTTCTGAAGGAATACTGCACAACGGTGAAAAATGTATTAGCTCAGCATTACAGAAACGCTTAACAAATAAGAGATGTACCCGAACGTTAATAAATGAGGCTTCAGCTATGAGGAGACTGAGGAAAACTGCTACTTAAGGCAGAAGCAGTACTTCAGGCAGGAATGAAAATGTGCAGAATTCTAATTTATCCTTGTTCACCAGAAAAAAATAGATGTTTTGTTATTAAAAAGAACACATTTCCCTTATGGTGACCCACTAACAGACTGCTGAAAAAGTGGAAAAAACACATGAAACTATAGCTTAAGGATATAACCTTAATGCTGAAGTTGTGTCAGTTTAACTGTACAACTTGTAAATCTCATCAACCTGGATGTCCTTGAAGGTTAAAGACAGGGGTCCTGGTAGCCTGTGGCGCCATTAAATCACTGTGTGTCAGCGTTAAACTTTGATCATGACAAATAATGGTGTTTTCATGTGAGCCCACGCATTGGACATCAATAAAGCCTAATGGTGTGTCAGCCCTATTAATGGATTACTTCACAGAGCTCATAAAAACACAATATCCTATCAAGTCTAAAGGCTCTAATGATCCCACAGTGTCTTGTAAAGTCACTGTAGGTCCCATCCCCTGATGGATACCAGCTCTTAGTGCATTTCATCTTACTGCTGTTTAAGAGAAAAGAGAATGTAAAGGGAGAACCTGCTTTGGTATGCAAGAGACTCCCAGTGTAGTCTTGAAGGCAAAGGAAAATTGTACTGAATATTAAACTGGTAGTAAAGGTGAAGAGAATGTGTTGGTTTATGCATGTCAAACAGGTTTTAAACGCACTAAATGATCAGACCAATATTGGATTGAAAGAAAAACACATTTTGGGATTTATTTTTCTCCGCTTTTCAGTAGGAAACCAAAGCAGCCCAAGCTGACCAGTCACAAAGTTGGAGTCTCCTTGTGGTATCTCTAAGGCCACTGTAGTTACCTACGAGTAGTGGCATATTTAACCTCTTAAGCCCTGAGCCTGTTTTTAAGGTTTCAGGCTCGAAAATGCTATGCCCAAAACAAATGACTATAACTTAAAGGGGACCTATCATGCAAAATGCACCTTTGTACGTCTTTTATACATGAATATGTGTCCCCCGGTGTTCCAGGGAACTCACCAAGTGTCAGAAAACACAACCCTCTCTATTTTCCTCCTAGCCAAATCTCTAAAAAAGGGGCTGCAACGGATCTGAAAAAAATGGATCCAGATTTCAACACTTTTCTACGTCACAAAGACGTGCTCCGCTTATTGGTCAACTCTCCACCTATCAGGGGCATGAGCCACGGCCACGTGCATTGCCAAACCTCTCATTCGCATATAGGCTATCGGCAGGCTAAATCAACCCCAGTCACATCTGTGTTTTTGCCTGCTCTTGCCAGGATGTCTAAGCGAGTTAAACATTGTGCTGTTGTTGGCTGCAAGACTCGGGACAGGGCATGCAATGCCATCAGTGGAAAAAGAAAATAATCTGTGGCTAGACTTCATTTTCAAGAGACATGTGCCAGAAGACCACGGCAGATTTCTGTTGGTGTGACTGTGTTCCAAACATTTTACGACGGACATGTTTATGAACTTCTCTCAAGTCCAACACGGATATGCCTCCAAACTAATGCTAAACCCGGGATCAATACCAACCATCCGGGACCAGGCCAGTGAGGACACATCCAATTTTGAAGCTGTAAGTTTTTATTTAGCGGTGTTTTTCCTGATAAAGCTATCTCTAGCTTGTAGTATGTAGCATGTAGCTTCGCCGTATCAATGTCGCCTCAAACCCAAATAGTAATCGGTTAGGTGTTTATATGTTTTTGTAACATTTTATTTTGTACGCTCCGCAGTCTTTGCTTTGTCTTTTATTTTAATTATCAGGCATTTGCTAACATGTTCAGACATACTGCCGTAATGGCGATCTGTGTGAAGGCTGTAAAGCCACGCCCTAGCCGATAACACAAGTATTTATTCTCCTATTTATTAGTATTTTGTATCCTCTAAAATCATATTGAGTAAGTTATAATCACAAACGTAATCTTCTGTAGGTAAGTGCCGTTTTTTGCAGCGTTATATGTAAAAGCTTTTGTGATTGTAGTCTGTAAGAACGATCAGATATCATCGATCTGTAAGCTACGCTACGCTAATGAGACATGCCGTTTTTTGCAGCGTTATATGTAAAAGATGTTGTGTGTTTACTTGTTTGCGCACATGAATATAAATGGGGGTGTGTGAGGATACAACACTGTGTGTATGTATGCGAGGGGCGACACACACCACGAGTAAAACGGAGCTAAAGCCCCGTTGGTCTGTTGTTGTTGACGAGGCCTTACCTCTAGCAACACGCTAATTAGTGGCTAGCACTCATTACAGTCAGTCTACTGAGCTCAGCCCCTCTCCAACATATCATCTGTATTGAGTCAGAAACACAGCATGCACGTTGCGGTTCAAAACTAACTCAGATTGGAAAAGGCTAAGCAAAGAGCTTTGCTAAATAGAGAGTCTTAAGCCCCATCTTTTGGGATTTCAGACTATATTTATCCAAATAGTATTTTCTCATCCTGAATACTAAATTGAGATGATTTTGTTCTAACTATGTTTTCTTCTTTACAGGCCAGCACCTCACATACTTACTAATTAGTGACAATTTGTACATCCTTTGCTATTATTTACATTTTTTTGTTATCATGGCGGAAATGAAAGACTGTACCTGGCAGCCCTGCACTACAATGAAAACGCTGAGCGTGCACAAGCCAACATCCACTGGAAACCCTCTGTATAAACTGCAGTTCCCAAAGGCCAGGAAGGGAGAATGCAGAGCAAAACCAGTAAAGACTGACCCCACATTCCGTAAGTGTTTAAAATATTTATTATACAAATATAAAATAAAAAAATTAGAAAGAACTTTCAGTTTTTTACATGCATATACTAATCTAAACCACATTTTTTGTTGTGCTTTTTTTTAACATTGCACAGGCTACGTGGCCAACTTGATGGACCTCATCTTCGGCCAAGTCTTTGTGGACCCTGCACCATTATGAGCGACCTGACAGGGGGGAGGTCATTGCCGGTTATGCTACACGGTTCAATTTGGCTGCTGTCTGAACCCAACATCGACATTTTGCGGATCAGGAAACTCCTGCCTCCTGAGGACAACGCAGGCCGGAATCACCACTCTGATCCTGCGTCCAAGGAAGCCCCAGCACCAGCACACAAAGCTTCTGTAGGCTAGATACCTGTGACGCCTGAAATCATTAAAAAAAAATATTTAGTGTCATTTATACAAAATACAAGTACATTTAGTTTTTTTTTATGGGTTCAAAGAACCGTTGATTTTGACAATAAAGTTCCGAGTTGATATCAAATGTGTCGTGATTATTCATGTTTGGATGGGTAAAGCATATTCTGATTTCAAAAGCATAAGGTTGTGTGTGGACTTTTGTTGTCGTACACATGGGTGTGTTATGCCATTGCTGTGTAGTATATAATAGTACATGCAGGGCCGCCCCTCCCTACAGGCCAATCACGCAGGCTGCATGGGGCCCCGCCTTGCGCAGGGGGCCCCGCCCAGAGGGCCTCAGCTGCTGTGCACTGTTCTCCGCTCAGTTCTCCGCGCACTCCCCGCGAGAGTGAGAGTGAGAGGTGACGAGCACGTCTGTAACCCATGCTGTAACCCGACACCGTTGCAATGAATCGACATCTGACCAA